ATTTAAGGAAGGTACGCGAATGTTCGAGAAGGACGTGGCGTGATACTAGTCACGTGACCTCCGCTGACGCAACAATATCAAATCTAGATGATCGAGAAATTTCTAGGCATTACACATAATCATTAGATCATGACCAAATTACATTTATCAAATAATATTAAACTTATAAAATAAAATATTGTTCACAATAATATGATCTATTACATATGGGTTTTGAGTCCGTTTTACTAACCATATAGTAATCTAATTTATATACACTTCACCATTATAATAGGCCTAATGGTATTTCTTTGGTTTGCTGACCCAAGCTGTGCTGATGAGCCTTGAAGAGGCGAAACTGTAGCCCACAGTAGAAGGTACGGCCAAACAAGGAATGCATTAGGCCTCGCCGTCACAGATTCACTTTTTTTAATTTCACCTCTGGTGAAAAGGAAAAAAATCTTTAACATATATATACAATATGATACACTGTTACTTTAGTCCTATAATACTATCTTGAAAACGGATTACTTGTATGATTCTAATGGAACATCAAGAATGAGAGGCAATCATAACACAGGGATGCTTCTGTAGAGGAAATTTCTCGGTTTCATTCTCGTCCGATTGTCACAGCTAGCGGAGTTCAGTACACTTTAGACTTTTCTTATAACACAAATTCTTGGTACACTAGTAAGAGGATAACTTTTCTAAGACCATGTCCTACCTTAGCAATGAGAGATATTCAACTGTTGACCTTAGTGGCAGTAGATAGGGGTAAATATTGTAGTTAGGGCAACATTTGTTTAGTAGAAATGGTGATGTTTGTGCATTTTAATGTTTCCCTTGCAAAATATAAACCATTTTCAACGTTATGTAATTCTAAAGCTTGGTGAAAATCATACGGGCAATTTGTGGTTCATAAAATATTTATTCTCTGATTTAATTACGTTGTTGAGTACAATACTGATATTCATGATGATAGTATGAATATTTAAACATATTGTATTACTAAGCAGTTTTCATGAATTGAACTTTGATTACACCTAACTTAAAAAACAATGTATTTACTGACATAAATGTTTCTGTATTTACGATATTTATACACATTACAGCATTCAACGAAGCTGATTAGGAAACAGAGAGAGTGAATAGAAGAGTTTGTGTACAAAAAGATGAGAACACATTTCAGTTTGCACAAGAATACACATAATTATGTGTTTGAACTAGATGTTAACATATATGTTCAAACTTAATACCCTTTGAAATAAATTATCCTTTAAAATGAAAGAATTTGTTTGTTTGGAATTGTTGAAACCACAGATCACAATATTTCATATAACAATTTCTTACTCATTACTACAGAATTTTCCGACGTTGAACTCTGAATTAAAGAAAGTTTATGGAAGATCCAAGAATTAGGTCGATAACCTTAGTTGTACTTGCTTTTCATAATCCACCTGGTGTACAAGGAAGACTGTTTCTCAGTGCCCAGTTCAAAAGTCCAATTTTTACTAAAATCCTTAGGTGCTCTATTCGGCGACTTGACTGATATGTCTTCGTAAATAGAATAGCATCAGTGCTAGTTATATTCTGTAGTTGCTTGAGGTATGCAACAGTTGAATGGGAGATATGACTGGAAGTCTTAACTTGGTGAACCCTTACCCTGCTCATCTCTTTTCCAGATGGAGATCCTTCTTGATTATATTGTGTAGTGTTGCCTGGGACACGTGGGTGGCTTTTGCCACTGACCTTTGTGCCTGTGGATTCTCATCTGTACCAGCACACTACACTCTGCTTACCATAACTGGGGTATAACTTCTTGCAGGTCTCTTTCTAGATGATTCTGCTGCCCCAATTTGAAACATATTTCGTTTTCCAATGTCATTAAATACAAAGGATATCCTCATCTTGGAAATTCTATATTTAGATCTGAACACATCCTTATGATCTGAGTACATGAATATATTATATCGGAAAGGGCTATTAAATACCTTTCTCAAAAGCGATCAAGTTCCAGTGGAACCACATTACCTATATAATGTTCAAATGTTGGTCTGATACACACCATCTCACCGGACTTTATATTGGTTGTAATTATCATGTAACTTGTTAATTTACAAATTACGTGATAACTACTGCCAACATAATAAAAATAGTTTTAATATAATTTATTCAAGCCTCTGTATACATATCCATTATCACATTTTCAAACATAACAAGTTGGTATCTTAAATGCAGAATGAAATATGAAGACATTCATATTACATTTCTGGGATAACAATTGGAAGAAATATAGGTGGTTGTTGTTTTTTAAAAAATAATGTTACTTGAGTTTTATAAATACAGTAAGTTCACATGTAAGTAAGTTAAATGCAATAACAGATAATCATGTCAGACTACATGTTTGTGTGTACAAAATAATCCAGCCTGTAACTTTTTATATTAGTTTCAGTGTAATGTACTTCGATGATGTTGAGAAAAGATGTAAAGATTTACTTTCACCTTATGTTTATGTATATAGCGTCATTTGTAGCAGTATTAGAATTGAACTTTTTTATATTTAAGTAGATGACAAGATTTATGTTTGACTTCCTAATAACTATATGACATTTAACCAAACAAGAGAAAGTCAAAACTAACTATGTCGAGGGAAATGAAATTAGCTAGAAATAGTCTTACTATAATGGAGCAATGATGTGGTCGTCTATATATGTATGTGACCAAAATAATAAATACGATGGTGCCATCTGTTGTGCTGAAATACAACAAGATCTCACTGCCAGATGTGGTAATTGAGGCTTATGAAATGTGGCGCTATCGATTGAATAGCACCACAAACAAAAATCCATATAACAATTTCACACTTTGGGTACTCAAGATTCAGACTATTAGAAAAATAAGTATGGTCTGCGCTACAACCATTTCTTTACAACATAACAAAGTTTTAAATAAAAGTACTTTCCTCACAACAAGAATACGACTTTCACTAAGACTGTAAGTGAGGGTGTGATTGTATCTTTATTAATGTAAGTTTTAAATGTAGTAATAAAAAACTGGAGTTTTTAAAAATATTATTTTTTCAATAAAGGGTAGCACTTTTAATATATAAAAACATTACAGTTTATATCAGTAAAACCTTTGAAACTTTCAGCCTTGTATATTGAATCATTTTGATGCAATGAGTTGCGTATACCTAAAGAGTCCAATCCGAACACTTTCCAGTGTAGTACTTCCCAGAAAAAAAATACTTTTTTAGAAAATGTTCACTTTTTAATTTTTTTGCAATGAGGTATGAATATTGTACTTCAACACCAATGTATAAAATTCATAATGCGTTAAAGTGAAGGTGAAACTGCTACCTTATACATATAGAATGAAAATATAACGTTTTTTCTTTATTACAAAACATTTAAACATTAATGAAGATAAGATATAATTATTTTGGACACAAAATAATAACTTCATAATGTACGATATTACTATACATTTTTGATAAGATTTATTATGATTTATTTAAACATGTTACTTTTTGTTTAAAATGTTTTCTTCCATGACTTATTTGTTTTAATGTAAAGCTAACTTTTTAATATTCTAACGTGTGCTGTAGCCGCCTCGGGAATTTAATCTTGAAATTTTAGCATTAAAAACCCGAAATCATACAGGTGAGACACCGGGAAACAAAGCTAACATGATAAAATGGACATTTAAAATCTTACTTGATCGTAAAAATCCATCTTCTTCACACACGTATGAGGCTCCAATCAAAACACCTTCAACAACCCCATCCACTATCTTTTTACCTGTGGAATCTAAGCATTGCGCTGAAAAGTTCTTTAGACATTCTCCTGCTTGATGAACTTCGCTGAAAAAATTTAATACTTGTTTAAGTAAATATAAACAGTACAATTATATTAAATCCAAAAGCCTAAAAAGAATATAAAAATACTGTATATGTATAAAACGTATTTAAACACAAAACATGTATGTATCACACAATTGTCTTGTAATTTGTTTGTCTGAGAACTGTGCTATCTGCATATAGACATCCCTAATTTTGAGTTGACAGAGTAAAGGGAAGGCAGATAGTCAAAAGCATCCATCAACAACTACAGAGGTTGAGTATGAGTATGTTATATTAAAACTATTTGAAGTCTCACCATGTCTATATAGTCCATGTCACAACTTCAGATATGTTCTACCTGATGATAAGGCTCAACTACAGAGGTTGAGTATGTTATATTAAAACGATTTGAAGTCTCACCATGTCTTTATTGTCCATGTCACAACTTCAGATATGCTCTACCTGATGATAAGGCTCAACTACAGAGGTTGAGTATATTATATTAAAACGATTTGAAGTCTCACCATGTCTTTATTGTCCATGTCACAACTTCAGATATGTTCTACCTGATGATAAGGCTCAACTACAGAGGTTGAGTATGTTATATTAAAACGATTTGAAGTCTCATCATGTCTTTATAGTCCATGTCACAACTTCAGATATGCTCTACCTGATGATAAGGCTCAACTACAG